GGGGCCAGTGCTGTGGCATAGCAGGTAAAGTCGCCGCCTGCAGTGCTGGCATCCCATGTGGGCGCCTATTCAAGTCTAGGCAGCTCCACTTTTTTTTTTTGACAGGCAGAGTGGACAGTGAGAGAGAGAGAGAGACAGAGAGAAAGGTCTTCCTTTACCGTTGGTTCACCCTCCAATGGCCGCCGCAGCCGGCGCGCTGCGGCTGGCGTACCGCGCTGATCCGATGGCAGGAGCCAGGAGCCAGGTGCTTTTCCTGGTCTCCCATGGGGTGCAGGGCCCAAGGACTTGGGCCATCCTCCACTGTGCTCCTGGGCCACAGCAGAGGGCTGGCCTGGAAGAGGGGCAACCGGGACAGAATCCGGCGCCCTGACCGGGACTAGAACCCGGTGTGCCGGCGCCGCTAGGCGGAGGATTAGCCTAGTGAGCCGCGGCACCGGCCGCAGCTCCACTTTCAATCCAGCTCTCTGCTGTGGCCTGGGAAAGCAGTAGAAGATGGTCCAAGTCCTTGGCCCCCTGTACCGCATGGGAGACCTGGAGGAAGCTCCTGACTCCTGGCTTCAGATTGGCACAGCTCCAGTTGTTGCAGCTATCTTGGGAGTGAACCAGCAGTTGGAAGTCCTCTACCTCTCTGTGCCTTTGCTTCTTTGTAACTCTGTCAGTCAAATAAATAAATAAATCTTAAAAAAAAAGAGAGAGACAAAAAAGAAATGGACGGTATCACAAATGCACCAGAAATTAAAAGGTAACAAGGGATAATCAGGTGCAACTTTGTTAATTAATTTGAAAGACTATGGGGCTGGCACTGTATGCTTGGTGGGTGAAGCTGCCGCCTGCAGTGCTGGCATCCCATATGGGCTCCAGTTCGAGCCCTGGCTCCTCCACTTCTGATCCAGCTCTCTGCTACGGTCTGGGGAAGCAATGGAATTATAGCCCAAGTCCTTGGGCCCCTGCATCAACATGGGAGACCTGGAAGAAGCTCCTGGCTCCTGGCTTCGGATTGGCACAGCTTTCAACCATTGTGACCATCTGGGGAGTAAACTAGGAGATGGAAGATCTCTATCTCTCTGCCTTTGCCTCTCTGTAACTCTGCCTTTCAAATAAATAAATACATCTTTAAAAAAAAAAAAGGAAGACTGTTCAATGGTCAATTTTCTAGAAAACTACAATTAAAAGTGACTCAAGAAGAAATAAATTACCTATATCCTATGATCTTAAAATATATTAAATCAGGGATTACATCTACCCAAATAATGAAATACAATGCAGAGAATGTTCAAGAAAAATCTCAGTTTTACATAAGTTTCAGAGAGCAACACTATGAAAAGAAGGAACATCCACAAATTCTTGAATCTATCATACATAGATAGCAGGAAAGCTTCCTAACCTCATCTCTTATTTTTCCCCCCCAAGATTTATTTTTTATTTATTTGAAAGGCAGAGCTACAGAGAGAGGGAGAGGGAGAAGGAGGGGAAGAGGGAGAGGAAGAGGGAGAGGGAGAGGGAGAGGGAGAGGGAGAGGGAGAGAGAGAGGGTGAGGGAGAGGGTGAGGGAGAGGGAGAGGGAGAGGGAGATCTGTCTACTAGTTCACTCCCCAGATGGCCACAATGGCCAGGGCTGGGCCAGTCTAAAGTCAGGAACCCAGAGCTTCTTCCATGTCTCCCACAGGGGTGCAGGGCCCCAAGTACTTGGGCCATCCTCTGCTGCTTTCCCAGGCACATTAGAGGGAGCTGGACTGGAAGTAGAGTAGCCATGTCTAGAACTGGTGCCCACATGGTATGCAGGTATCACAGTGGTGGCTTAATTGATTATTCCACAATGCTGGCCCTGAGCTAACCTCATTTATAAATATAAAGTTATAACTTATAATAAAATTTAGCAATTGGTAACTTAAAATGCAAAACAAACAAACAAAAATCAAAAAACTCTGCAATGACTAAGTTGTGTTTATCCCAGGAAAGCAAGTATGGCTTAATGTTAGAAAAATCAATTTATGTAACTTATTAACAAATTGCAGCAGAAAAATCACATAATTATCTCAATAGAGGCAGAAAATCATTTGTTAAGTTTTAATACTCTTTCATATTAAAAAATCAAGAAATACAAATAGAAAGAAATTTTCTTAATAGAATAAAATATCAGACTTGTAGCAAACATATTTATTAGTGAAACTTTAGAATTATTTAGAGTTATTCCCTTTAACATAAGGAACAAGATGACTACTATTACTTTTTTTTAAATTTTTTTGACAGGCAGAGTGGACAGTGAGAGAGAGAGACAGAGAGAAAGGTCTTCCTTTTGCCGTTGGTTCACCCTCCAATGGCCGCCGCAGCCGGCGCGCTGCGGCCAGCGCACCGCGCTGATCCGAAGGCAGGAGCCAGGTGCTTCTCCTGGTCTCCCATGGGGTGCAGGGCCCAAGTACTTGGGCCATCCTCCACTGCCTTCCCGGCAAGGCAGAGAGCTGGCCTGGAAGAGGGGCAACCGGGACAGAATCCGGCGCCCTGACCAGGACTAGAACCCGGTGTGCCGGCGCCGCTAGGCGGAGGGTTAGCCTGTTGAGCCACGGCGCCGGCCGATGACTACTATTACTGTTTATACCCAGTCATTATTTAGAGATACCATTAGAGTAGTTAAGACAAAAAAAGGAGAGGCATAAGTATTGTAAAAACAAACAAAATTACTACTATTCACAGAAGTAAGATTGCCTTCATAGAATCTTAGAGAAAATATGAGCAAACAATTTGAATGAATATGAGAGATCAACAGGTTACCAAAGACTTGAGTGGTGAACATGGTCTGTTCTTCTGTACTTTTGGACTTCAGTGATGAGACTGCCCTGTGTTTCTTACTCACCTTACGCTGTGACCCTCTTCCACATCGCTACTCCCTTGAGCCTTCTACACTTCACTGAGCAAGCCGTGCTTCCCCACCCCACACTTGCCCTTAGGAAAGAATGTCTCTTGCTGCCTAAGAAAGGCTCTTCATCTGTCACGGCTTGAAGTATTTCATTTAGAAAAACACCTGAAAGTGCAGCCATGTTAACAGCAGCACTGTTCATGGTAGCTAAAATGTGGAAGCAACCCACGTGTCTGTCTGTGGATGAATGGATAGGACAAAATGTGGTATACCTATATGATGGAATATTATTTTGCCATAAAAAATGAAGTTCTGACAGATATTATAACAGGATGAACCTTGATGACATTATGCTGTGAAATAAGCCAGTCACAAAAAGACAACTCCTGTGTGATTCACTCATATGAGGTACTGAGAGGACTCAAACTCATAGAAACAGAAAATAGAATAGTTGCCCAGGACCAGCACAGGGGAGTGGGAGTTGTTTTTCAATGGGTACACAGTTTCCTTTGGGGAAGATAAGACGATTCCAGACATGAATAGTGGTGGTGGCAGCACAACATTATGAATGCAGGTAATGCCATTGAACTGTATACTGAAAAATGACAAAAATGATGAATGTTATGTTGTCACAAAGAACTACACAAAACCCCAAACTCTAAAAGGCAACTTACAGTATTATCAGAAGCCTCTCAAAGAGGGGACAGAAGGAGATTATGTCTCTCTCCCTTGCCGGTCCCCCACCACCTGATACTTCTTACCTGTCACACCCTTGGAACTCCCAGGTGGACTCCATCCTGACTCAGCTCCCACAGATTCTGCTGTCTCCTCTTGCCTGGTGGATATGTTGTGTTGTCCAGTGGTACCTTCGGTTCCTCTCTGTAATAGTCTGTTTTCTGTTACTATAACAAAATACCCAAGGTGGGATGTTTTATACAGATAAGAGATTTGTTTGGCTCGAAGTTCTGGAGGCAGAAGTTTCAACAGCATGATGCCAGCTCTGTGGAGGGCCCCTTTGGGGCATCCCATCCTGGTGGCTGGCATCACCACAGAGTGCATGTGACAGGGAGAGGTCACATTTTGAGACAGGGAACCAAAGTGAAATTGAAGTCCTATGAGAACTATGTTAATCCCTTCTGAGGACATGTCCCCAACCAATAATCTAATGATCTCCCACTAGGTCTCTCCTCTTAAGGTCCCACTTTCCTATCACTACACAAGAGACCAAGATTCCAGCACATGAAACTTTGAAGAAATACACATACCCAAACCATCTCAGTCTTTAAGGAAACTTCACTGTGGCACTGCAACTTCTCCAGTTCTGTCCTCAACCCAGCACCCCAGTGAAGACAGGAAACCTGGGGGGCTTCCTTTCTCCTCATCAGATCCAGAACCCTGAGCCTCCTGTGTTCAGACTCCACATCCAGCATCTCTGGCTCTTTCTCTGCTCTCCCCAGGCTCTGAGTGTCTGCTGTCAGAGTTGTCACCTCGCCTGGTGTTCTGATGTCCTCCTAGGCCTGGAGACTTACCTTTGATTTCTTGACCCCAGGGTCAGTTGTAAGCAGGGTTAACCCAGCTATTTTGCTTTGTAGGAAGGACCAAGCCTTTGTGTTAAGTTACAGTTTCCTGACAGGCACTGTGCTTTGCCTCCATTTCATAGTTTATTAAATCTGGACTTGTTTGTTGTTATGAAACCGCTTTAAAACTTTTAGGATGATCTGTTTAAATGCCTATTTATTTTTCTCCATATGCTTGTAGATACATAGGAAATATCAGAATATTATGCCTTTTAACATTTTCTTCATCTTAAATTCTAAACAAAAATGAAAGCAAAAAAACCCACAAGCTTTTTTTTAAATAATAAAATAAATATTCTCAGTGCTGTGTTCTATCTGATATAATAAATTCTTAGTATTTGATTCTGAGAGTCTCCTTTCCAAAGGCAGCTGTAGGTCAGATATGCTGCTAAAGATAACTTGAGCTTCTAGGGGAAATAATAATCAGGAGGTACAACCTCAAGTCAGTGGGAGAGTGGCAAGGACAGGGTCTGGCTGCAGACTGTCTTTCTAATTTGGAAATGACCTTTGTAAGGGAGTCACAATGTAACCATAGAGATGAATTGTGAGACTGTCATTCTTGTCCTGCAGATGCTTCTGTCTCTGAAAGCAATTTAGGGAAGAGCCAAGAGGAATAGAACTTCCCCGTCTAATTAGCCCAAGGAGCCAGGTAAGGTGGATATTTGAGACTGGAGCAGCGTGAATCCACAGACACTGAGAATTTAGCCTGGAAGCATTGTACTGCCAAGTTGCCAGGAGACCCATAGCTGGAGCTATGTTCAGTCTCAAAAAGTATTTCTCGGCTTACAAAAAGTACGAAAACAGCCATGGCATTAAAGTTTATGCGTTAGAGAAGGAAGAAGAGGAGGAAGAAGAGGAGGAGGAGGAGGCGGTGGTGGTAATGGTGGTGGAATAGGAGGAGGGAATATCCATACCTTGTGTTAAGCACAATTTTACCTATTTTTATTTTATCTTCATGCTGATTTCTTATATTAAAAAAAAAAAAATCCAATGTCCCAGATGTGGACACATATGAGTGCTTCAGAAATGGAATTAAAGAAAATTGAATTAAAAGACAATGTGAATTTTCCATTAGCTTTTTCAAAGTTCTATTGTATTTAACTTACTGCATTTACTAGCTTATTCCCTAGTTTCTAATGATATTAAATAAATGTAAGATCATGTCATTATGTGGCTTAAAATTGTTCAGTACCTTTCAGTTTCCTTTAAGACAAAATTTTGACTTCTTTAGCTCATGTAGAAATGGGGTGATTATGCCATTTATCAACCAAACTGAGATGGTTGTTAATAACTCTTAGGAAAATAGGTGTGATGGGAACTTTCTTAGGAGATCCAAGATGTATCCAAGAGATCCTGTTGGATCTAGCTCTGACCTTCCCCTCTGTCTCCTGCTCAGTTTGCATCAGGTATGCTGGTCTTACTTCCGTGATATGGAGAAGTCTTCAGAGTCCTGGCTGGGCCCTTTGTCATGTTGGTGTTTGCCTTATTTATCTCTGGGGTTGCTGATATCAATTCCTTAGAGAGCCCTGCCCTACCCATCTAGTCTGGGGTGGTCTCCCTGGTTACTTTATCTTTGCTCCTTTCCATCATCACATGAGTTGTAATCTGGAGAGATCTGTTTATGTACTTGTTTATTATCTGTAAAATCTACAAGGATGAGGACAAGCCTTGTCTGTCTGGTTCACTAGCCTGGCATACAGGAGGAGCTCAGTCAATACCCAGACATGACAAATGAGTGAATGATCAGATGAGGGTCTTCAAGTTGGACTGAATGACCCAGAGATGCTGCTGCCTTGAGTCTCATCATGGGAATAAGGTCCATCCTGAGTAGAAGAAAAAGAATGGAGGGGCCGGCACTGTGTCATAGCAGGTAAAGCTGCCGTCTGCAGTGCCAGCATCCCATATGGGCTCCAGTTCATCCACTTCCAATCCAGCTCTCTGCTATGGCCTGAGAAAGCAGTAGATGACCCAAGTGCTTGGTCCCCTGCACCCATGTTGGAGACCCAGAGGAAGTTTCTGGCTCCTGGCTTCAGATAGGCGTAGCTCCAGCTGTTGTGGCCAACTGGGGAGTGAACCAGTGGATGGAAGACCTCCCTCTCACTCTCTGCCTACTTTTCTCTTTCTGTGTAATTCCAACTTTCAAATAAATAAATTTTAAAAAAATGAATGGAAACAGAAAAGGAGGGGAGCAGCAGGAGAGGAGAAAGAAATGATACTGGAGAAAACATAGGTGTACAATTTATGCTTCATTTATTCTTTTAAAGGCTAAGCCATATTACAAATTGGGACTGTGGTTTCATTTTTGCAACACAAGACTTCTAGTGAAACAGAGAGAAAGAGAGAGAGGGAGAGAAAGAGAGAGAGAGAGAGAAAGGTCTTCCATCTGCTGGTTCACTCCCCAAATAGCTGCAGTGACTGGAGCTGTGACAATCCAAAGACAGGAGCAAGAAGCTTCCTCTGAGTCTTCCACATGGGTGCAGGGGCCCAAAGACTTGGGCCATCCTCCACTGCTTTCCCAGGCCACAGTAGAGAACTGGTTCGGAAGCGGAACAGCTAGGACTTGAAACGGTGTCCACATGGAATGTTGGCACTTCAGGCGGGGGCTTTACCTGCTATGCCACAGTGCCAGCTCTTAACCTATTTCTTTTACATGAATAAAATATTTCATAGTTTCATAGAATGATTCTAAAAGGAAATTCTTGGCTTCCTGTGGCTCTCATATCACTTGCTAATATTTGACCATTAAAGATCTAAGTCAGATGGGAACAATTTATCCTGCTTAAAGAATAGTATCTATGAGAAAAGTTCAACTTCACATGTCCTGTATTTGAACATCACACATAGAACATTTTTTTTTAAAAGATTTTATTTATTTATTTGACAGGTAGAGTTACAGACAGTGAGAGAGAGAGAAACAGAGAGAAAGGTCTTCCTTCTGTTGGTTCACTACCTAAATGGCCACAACGGCCGGAACTGCGCCGATCGGAAGCCGGGAACCAGGTGCTTCTTCCTGGTCTCCCATGCGGGTGCAGGGGCTTAAGCACTTGGGCCATATTCTACTGCTATCTTAGGCCACAGCAGAGAGCTGGACTGGAAGAGGGGCAACCAGGATTAGAACCAGCACCTGTATGGGATGCCAGCACCGCAGGTGGAGGATTAACTTACTGCGCCACAGTGCTGGCCCCAATAGAACACTTTTTTAAAAAATGTGTATTGATTTATTTGAAGATCAGGGTTTCAGAGAGATCCCCCATCTGTTGGTTCACTCACTAAATGGCCACAACAGCTGGGGCTGAATCAGGCCGAACCCAGAAGCCTAGAACTCCATCCAGGTATCCCTCGTGACACCCTCGTGAGTGTCAGGGGCCCAAGGACCTGGGCCAACTTCTGCTGTTTTTCCAGGCACATTAGCAGGGAGTTGGATTGGAAGTGGAGCAGCCAGGACTTGGACCAGTGCTCATATGGGATGCTGACATCACAAATAGCAGCTTAACTTGCTGTGCCACAATTCTGGCCCTATAAGTAACACTTTTTAAACTATCAAGTGGACAATAACATTGTCTGGGAAATTTAAAAAAATAGCGGTTTATATAATTGCATGAAACTTGATTTTATTAAACATTTTTGTTTTTTGCAAAGAAGGTTGTGGGAAAGGAAATTGAGTCCTTTGTGTTCTTTCTCCCCTGTGGGCAATAACAAATTATATTATTCTTTCAACATCCCACTCAAACAGCACAGCAATCTAGTGCTCTATATTATTTTTCTGAATAGCAGTTGTAAAAGAAGTTCAGAGAACTGCAATATAGGTCACTGATAAGACCGCTTTTGTAATATGCAGTCACAGGGGTGTGTGCAGTTATAGGAAGATGAAGTCCATGGTATATCTCTCTGTGGAATGGCTGTCCCTTGCCAGTAAGCTACTAGCTGTCGTTTATCTGTGTATGTAGCTCACCACTTCCGCTGTCCTTGCCTCTTATTTTCTTCACCGTGTTCCTTATGACTTGCATTGTGTATTTACTTGTTTGCTTGCTTTTGGCTCCCTAAGATGTTAAATCTGCTTTATTGTCTGCAGTATCCTCAGTGTTCAGCACAGTGGCAGGTACAGAGTATGTGTTCATTTACAAATGCCTCCTGCGAGGTGGGTGGTGGTTTTCAACATAGGATTAAAGAGATGTGGGGGGATTGAGTGCTGTAAGAATTAAAAGGGCTTTGACTAGATCCTGATGCAGTGGGGAATTGCAGAAGCATATTAAGCTAAAAATTGGAGGAAAGGAAGGATAGGACCATGTTTGTATTTTAGTTGAATTAACCTGGGTGTTGTGTGGAGGAAGAGTTTGGGACAGTGAAACAGTCTGGAGTCAGGGAGATCATAAGGAGACTATTGTGAAATTCTGGGTGAATAGAGATAAGAGCTCAGTCTGGAAAGTTGGTGATAATGAGAGCAGTAGTAATTATTGTTAGTGTAGCAAAATTTACTGCAGTGAGCTAGCCATTAAAATCTGTTTTTTTTTAAAGATTTCTTTATTATTTTTATTTGAAACTTAGAGTTACACACAGAGAGAAAGAGAGGAAGAGAGAAAGAGGTCTTCCATCCTCTGGTTTACTCCCCAATTGGCCACAATGGCCAGAGCTGTGCCGATCTGAAGCCAGGAGCCAGGAGCCTCCAGGTCTCCCACGCAGGTGCAGGGGCCCAAGGACTTGGGCCATCTTCTACTGCTTTCCCAGGCCATAGCAAAGAGCTGGATCAGAAGTGGAGCAGCCGGGACTCAAACTGGCACCCATATGGGATTCTGGCACTGAAGGTGGCAGCTTTATCCACAATGATACAGCGCCAGCCCCTAAAATCTATTTTCTATACTACATTTTTCAGCCTCCTTGAAGTCAGGTGTGGCCATGTGATTATGTTCCACTCAGTGGAATGTGAGCAGAAATAACGAGCTCTACTTTTAGGCCTGACCAGAGAAATCTTCTTTACATACTCTTCTATGCTCTTTTCTCTTTTCTGGCTGGTTGGGATGGAGAAGTCATTGCACTAAAGAAAATTTGGCATCCATTATCCTAGATTTTATAAAGCCATATAAAGAGAAATTGTCCCCGTTGGCTAGCAATATGGTAAATATTGTATAAATGAGGAAGAAATATAAATTATGTTTGAGCCACTAGATAATTTTAGGTCTATTTGTCTATTTGCACCTGATATTTCCCTAAAGAATTCCAGCCAAACATCATTCCTAGTGCTTTATGATTTGATGCTACATGATAACACATTTAACATAATCTATTTAGGAACACATTATTATCATCGCCAGTTTCCAGGTGAGGAAACTGAAACACAGAGGGCTATGTAAAAAGAGATGTAGTTGGGAAATGATGGAAACAGACTTCAGACAGTTCTGGCTCTTATATTTTAAGCAATATCTGGTGGTGGAGATGAATAGGAGTGAATGGATTTTTTTAAAAAAAATATAGATGTCCTTTCTTTGCAATTAAGCATTCTGACTAAAAAATAGAACCTTAAAAAGGTTTAAGTGGCTGAGCATGAACATTAATTAAAATTTGAGTCATTATTTATAAAATAATATTTTAAGTAAAATTTAAGGACATAACATAACCTTAAGTTGGGTTCCCTAGAATCAAATACTGAGACTGAGATCTGCACAGATTTGAAAGGGAAGTGTCTCCTGGAAGGGAGAGAAGAATTAGGTAGAGGAAGAAGGTGAACTTGGTGTCGTCACAGTGTAGGAATCTGCCTACCCCACGATCACTTTGGGGTTAGGGATCACCTGTTGGAGTCATCTCCCATTAAAGCAAGGGGCCTGGACTCCCGTGTTCTGCCTTTACTGGTCACTGGACATGGAGTGCCAGCCAGGAGGGCACACAAGCCTGAGTGAGGCAGCATCTTTGGAGAGCGATTCTGCTGTGCACCAGCACTCCTTGCAGTTGGTAAAATGAACATTCTGATCTTCACTGATCTGGATGGCACACCACAGAATCGACTGCAGAAACAATGGGAATAAAGAGTTCTATGCTTGCAAATTTTCAGTTGTTCTAGACGGCTCCATTTGGCTTCAGACTCACATGGTCCACTACCTGCTAATTGTGCCTGAAGTATAAATGTGACAGCATTGACAAGGGCTGGGTTTCAGAATTGTGCTGAGACCTAGTGAAGGCCTAAAGGGTATTCCAGGGACTTTGGGTATGAGGGAATCTGGCAGCAGCATGGAGAAGGATTTGCATGGGGACAGGCCACTGACAGGTGAAGCCTTCAGCGTAGATGGACTTATAAGACACTGTAGAGACGTCCTCAGTGGTTTCAATGGCTGGTCGTGGAAGGTAAGGGAAGATGTAAGGCAAAGCCCGCAGCTTTATCTTGGGAGACTGTTAAAAGTGATACTTGAAGAGAGATTGTGGTCACATTCTCTCTATGGCAGAATGTGGCATGAAACCCTCAAATAAATAATTCTCAAACTTGTTTCTTCTCTCTTTACACTTTTTCCATTCTGAGGAAACGTCATAATGCTCCTTCTGGTCTCCTAAAATGAGTTACTCTTTCTATGTATCATGGGTTTCTTCATCAATCTGTTTTAGCAAAAATCTTCTTTTGGATGCACTTTGTCCCGCCCCGTCCCTTGAGTTGCAAATCTAAGTGTACCAGCACAAAACATACATTTAAATGAATGTTTTAAAGCACAGACACAGAGTCCAGTTTATTCCCTCTTCGTGTATCAGCAGTTCTGTCATGGCCCCTACTGGAAGTTCTTGAATCATAGTTACAGTAAGAGGTGACATGAGGTACTCTGAACTTGGGGACAGTGTATGTTGTGAGTGGCTGGTTGCTCTGTTACGTGGATGAACAAGATTGTCTAAGGCTGCTAGTGAATGTCCACTTTAAGTTCCTTTGTGCCCCAGCGAGCATAGTGTTATATAGTGTTCATCATTGGATGTGTTCTTCACCCAAAGTGAATTTTCTGTCTTGATTTATACAAGATTGTAATCTAAACTTGTGCAGGCTGCATTTTTTTGCCAAGTAATTTAAAGATGTAACAGTATAAAATTTAAAGAAAGTAAAACCAAAAGATGAGTAATGATGTAGGTTCACATCAGTTTAGAAGACATTTATGTAGTATATTCTCAGTGCAAATTAACCATTCATTTAGCCAAAATTGATTGGTAGCTCTTTGTGCCAGGAACTATCTATCCTAGGTGTGCCAAGAAGACAGAGGTAGAAGAGCAGGTAAAATTTTCCCCTCTCGCTGGTGCCGCGGCTCAATAGGCTAATCCTCCGCCTTGCGGCGCCGGCACACCGGGTTCTAGTCCCAGTCGGGGGTGCCGGATTCTGTCCCGGTTGCCCCTCTTCCAGGCTAGCTCTCTGCTGTGGCCAGGGAGTGCAGTGGAGGATGGCCCAGGTGCTTGGGCCCTGCACCCCATGGGAGACCTGGAGAAGCACCTGGCTCCTGCCTTCGGATCAGCGCAGGCCGCAGCACGCCAGCCGCGGCGGCCGTTGGAGGGTGAACCAACAGTAAAGGAAGACCTTTCTCTTTGTCTCTGTCTCTCACTGTCCACTCTGCCTGTCAAAAAAAAAATTTTTTTCCCTCTCAGAATGTACCTTCTGATGGTAGAATAAGAAGCAAGAAATCAAAAGAGAGCTTACAATGTGTGCAAGTACTAGGAAGAAAATAAAAGTTGGGATTCAATTTGCTTATCTAGTCTTTTTCTCTCACTGTAAGACGCTTCCTTGGTGAGCAATTTGGTCTTCTAAGCAGATTGGGGCAGGATAATATGAACCTAGAATTCGTACTTAAAAAGGCAAATACTTTGAGTAGGGAGGATGAGACTTTTTTTTTTTAACATTTATTTTATTTTATTTATTTGAAAATTACAGAGAGAAGTAGAGACAGAGAGTGGTCTTCCATCTGCTGGTTCGCTCCCCAGATGGCTGCAATGGCTGGGGCTGTGCCAATCCGAAGTCAGGAGCCAGGAGCCAGGAGCTTCCTCCAGGTCTCCCATGCAGGTGCAGGGGCCCAAAGACTGGGGCCATCTTCTACTGTTATCCCAGGCCATAATAGAGAGCTGGATGGGAAGAGGAGCAGCTGGGACTAGAACCAGTGCCCATATGGGATACTGGCATGTCAGGCCAGGACATCAACCCACTGTGCCACAGCGCCAGCCCCAGGATGAGATTTTAAAAGTGTTAAATATAAATGTGATAAGTAAGATTTAAACTCCTACCTGGGACTATCACCAACTATTGTCCACAAAGAAAGTCCTTACAATATTAACAAGTAACTAATAAAAACTCTGGTGGTGGTGTTTTAACCAACTCCAACTGAAATGAGGAGGCACCAGTATTCTGTTTCTTCTATAATGGTATGTACTGGCTCTCAGAGCATGGCCACTCTGAACATGCTGGCCCCTGTGTGCTCCCAGAAGTTGAATTTTATTCTGTCTGAGAGCCAGAATTGTTTGTTCCATGGGGCAGACATTTAGTCTAGCAGTTAAGATGCCCATATCCCACATCAGAGTATTTGGGTTCAATTCTCAGCTCTATTCTGACTCTGGCTTCCTGCCCGTGTTGACCCTGGGAGGCAGTGGTGATGTCTTAGTCATTGGGTTTGTGTCGCTAAAGTGGGAGACCTGGATTGAATCCATGGATCCCAGCTTTTGCCCGAGGGAGCCTTTGTGGGCACTTGGGAAATGAGTCAGCAGATAAGAGCCCTCTGTCCCTCTGCTGCTGAAGTAAATGAATCAGGAAACATAAAGATCTACAATATTTTTTCTCATGAATGTCTTCAAATTCTTATTCACTGCTGAAAGAAAAAAAGGCACATGAGATATGGGTGTGGCTTAGGTTAAAAAAATGGTTTCAAATCTAAGAACTATGGCATTCCACCAATTTGGAAAAAAGTATTGATGTTTATTTAAGTTAAAATATAATGTTTCCAACATGACTGTATTCTTTTTATTCCTTAACTGACATTTCTGATTAACCCATTGGCTAGTAGTTCTGATTGTGCTAAGGAGATTTTCACTGTCTTCTACGTCATGTTCTGTGTGTGATAGAATTTGGGAGACTTCTATCCAAGGAACTCAGGATTATAGTCCTGATGTCATTAGATAGAGAATGGATGTGTCTCTTTTTTGTTTGTTTTGTTTTTTTGACAGGCAGAGTGGACAGTGAGAGAGAGACAGAGAGAGAAAGGTCTTCCTTTTGCCGTTGGTTCACCCTCCAATGGCCACCGTGGCCGGTGCACGGCATTGATCCGAAGGCAGGAGCCAGGTGCTTCTCCTGGTCTCCCATGGGGTGCAGGGTCCAATCACTTGGGCCATCCTCTACTGCACTCCCTGGCCACAGCAGAGAGCTGGCCTGGAAGAAGGGCAACCAGGACAGAATCCGGCGCCCCAAATGGGACTAGAACCCGGTATGCCAGCGCCGCAAGGCGGAGGATTAGCCTAGTGAGCCACGGTGCCAGCCGAGAATGGCGGTGTCTTCAGATCACTTCTACGTAGCCAGGTCTCCTTTCCCTCATTGGCACAGTGGAAGCACGGAAAGCATTTTCACTTTTCAGCAGAAGCTTTCCATTGAGAGCATCAAAACTCTTCACAGGGACAAATTTCTAAATAAGCAAGAAAGCTCAAATTACACAAAAGAGGTGCATAGAGGTGTTTATTATCCTCTTACAGAGGATGGTGGATTGTTGCTGAACACTTAGCTGGTGTCTGTCGCCTCTCAGGAGAATTATGTTTCTACTAATCTCACTGCCACACTGTGTCCTGTTCCCTATTTGTGTCAGTTCCTAGTATTTCTGAAAACTATGAGGCATGAAAAGAGCACTTGTCTGTGAGCCAGGACACGGAAGCTCAGACCCTGGAGGTACTAATAACTCGTGTGGTTTGGAGCTCTTTCTGGCTGGCCCTTTTGTGTCTCAGCTCCCTTATCTGTAAAATGGCAATGACAGTACTTGTACTAGCAAAACAGATGGTAGGGCAGTGGGTGGCATTGGTGGTGTGAGTGCTTGTCAAGACATAGGTGGATAATACTGTAGCTGCAGATAGTGCCAGCACCAGTGACCCATAGATTTCATTTATTTTCCCTTATTCTCATTTTGGGATTCCCACTTTTTGTTATGGTATCTTTGATCATGTGTTGAGTTCTGGGTTCTGGTTTGCACGTTTGTTTATTACAGCCAGAAGTGAAAGTCCTTCCTCAAATGCTCTAATCCAGTACAGGCTACCTACCACCACCTTTACCATCTTCCAAGATAGTCCTAGACTCGGTAAGAAATGGAAGGAAAAGGACAGATTAGGGGCAAGCTGATGATCTGTTGTGTTCTGAACCAAAAGACCAGAAGGTGACTGCCATTCTCTAAAGCTCTGAGTATTCATTGTTATCACTTGACTTATTCCCAGATTTTCTGATAATGCAAAAGAAAAAAAAAGGTGAAATATACTAAATTTCCAACAATAGGGGATTACTCAAGTAAATGATGATATGACTGAATGCCATTCATTTTATAAAGTGCCATATATGAATGTTTCTTGCTATAGAAAAGCAGTTAAAATAAGTTAAAAAAGCAACCCCACAAGAGTAATGTACAACAACCCCATCACTGTAAAATATATACGCATTTAAGTAAAGAATATTTAGAAGGATATACAGTGGCTATCTCTGGGTAGTAGAATTATAGAAACTTTAATCTTCCTTCTTTATACATATCTGAATTTTCCAGTGGAAAGTGGGTATATGTTACTTTTGGCAAAGGAGAAACTGATTTAAATTAAATAACATGCTATGGCAAAGCCACTGGTAGGAACCAAACTCAACATTTAGAAAAAATAAATACCAACTCTAAAACAGGAATTAAGAAAAGAATTTTTTCTTAGATAGGAAGGATAAATTTCATTCTTTTTTCTCTCTTAAACATGAATGTTTGAAATCAACCAAATATCAATCGCAAACATTTCTTTGCTTGAATCTTCCTTAAATTTGTTCTAAAAGGTACTCAGAGTATGGTAAATAAGTATACTTTGAAAAATCTAAATTAAACAATCATAAGCAGCAACATAATATAATTTTTTTAACTTACCAAAATATCACTTCAAAACAAATCACCTCTCCCCCACTCCCCCACATCATCTTCTAAGACACAGGTCAGTTGCACTGATCATTCTAAGTATAATAAAAATCTCTGGTTATCAATTGTCTTCTATTTACTTATATGTCAGGTATTTATAATATTAAATTTAATTATTTATTTAATCCTCACTGCCTTGGAAGACAGGCATTATTATTTTCATCTTATGTTGTCAAAAACTAAAACTCAAAGAAATTAAATTTCCTACCCAATCATTAAACAATAGAACCTCACTGTCTTTAAAAAAATCACTTGAATATTTATTGAATTCATTCTGCTTGACCAGGAATAGACCGATGAGCAAGACAACATGGTCTCAAAGAAGCTTAAATTCTACTTGGATGACAAGAAGCAAGTAATTATAAATGTGATTAATCTTATAAAGGAGCCAATACCCAATGTGAAGGAGGGTTAATCTGGTCTACGGCATCCATCCTGTGTACAAGACCCTTAACACTGAGATCTGAAGCATGGGTAGGAGTTAACAAGACAAAGAGTAGGCATGGTAGAGGGAACGATATATGCTGAGCACTGAGATGCTGTTTTGTTTTAATAATGTGGCACAACCAACTATCCAAAACTATGGCTTGACCAAAGAAAACCCTGGTTTATTTCTCCCACAGAGTTCTGCAGTTCAGCTGTACCTGGCCAGTCTTGGCTGAACTCCAGGGTTCAGGTGTTCCTTGTATGTATATTTCTCATCCTCTTTTGACCAGTGGCTTTGTGAAACAGGCTCCTTTCACAGTACATGACAGATGCACAGAGCCCAAAGGAAATCACACAAGTGCATTGAAGGCCTTATGTCATGTTCAGGAACATGTCATTAGTTATAGTAGACCAGAGGCCACACCCAAAATCAGTGGGCTGGGGAAAAATTTTACCCACAGTGGGGTCCCATCACACAGGATGCAGGTGAATAATTTTATATAGGAAAGGCATGAGCAACTGTGAACCTGACTCAGTCACACCTGGAGTTTTCAAGGAACCCTTTGCTGTTGAGGCTGAAGAATAGTAAGCAGGGAGGCTCTCACTGACTGATTTCCTTGGGAACTTCTTATTGTTGGGATTACATATGAGGATACTTCAAAACGTTTGTGGAAAATGGAATTAAAAGATAAGTTCCTTTTGGTCTAAAAAATTTTTGAAATCATATATAAAATGAGGAGCCTTTGAAAAGTTTATGTGACACTTTATATTATGAAAAACTCTGCATGAATTTCAACAATTTTTATACCAAAATAGTTTTTAATTTCATTTCTTATGAATTTTTGAACTATGCTCATTTATATATATATATATATATTTTGTTTTTGACAGAGTGGACAGTGAGAGAGAGAGACAGAGAGAAAGGTCTTCCTTTGCCGTTGGTTCGCCCTCCAATGGCCGCTGCTGCCGGCACACTGCGGGCGGCGCACTGATCCGATGGCAGGAGCCAGGTACTTCTCCTGGTCTCCCATGGGGTGCAGGGCCCAAGCACTTGGGCCATCCTCCACTGCACTCCCTGGCCACAGCAGAGAGCTGGCCTGGAAGAGAGGCAACCGGGACAGAATCCGGCGCCCCGACCAGGACTAGAACCCGCTGTGCCGGCGCCGCAAGGAGGAGGATTAGCCTAGTGAGCTGCAGCGCTGGCTCATTTATATATATATTTAAGCTTACTCCAAAAGACAATGACTTTTCAAATTTTTACCTAAACTTTATTCCAAAAGTTGAAAAACATTGAGATACCATGATTAACTCAGAAAGCTGAGATGCTGCCCATTGAATGAAATGTTCCTTCCCAGTGATGCAGCAAGCACTGGGTCTCTTCCTAATAGAAACACAGTCAGCTTAGCCTGAGAAGCAATGAAACAAGGGTTTGAACCTGTGAGCACATAGCATTAAATTTTGCTTGCTACTCATTCTCCTGGAATGGAGGTCAGCTATTTTATACGAAGTGAATAAGACTAACCAGTCATCAAACGTGAGGAAACATCTAATTTGACAGCCTTGTCCCATGAAATATGATCTGCTATTTGGTCAGATCATTTTAATGTTGTTACAAGAATAGCTCAGTTTATTTTTTCCCATTGCGGCACACATACATTCGTTTGCTTTACAAGTGCTTAGGTCTAATACCTGAATGAACAGGTGGGGAGATGAGAGTTGGTCAGATATAAACTCATACAGTTCATGAATGTAACAGGCATGGGCATTTCCCTCCCTCTTCCTTCCCTCCTTCCCTCTTTCCCTCCTTCCTCCCTCCCTCCCTTCCTTCCTTCTTTCTTCCTTCACCAAAGAAAATTAGTTTAGCAGACAAATACTGCATTATTAGCTGTCATAGTATATTTAGCCAAAGAAAGCTGTGTTCCTTTCAGTCGAGGTGATTTTAAAAATATTTATTTATGGCCGGCGCCGCGGCTCACTAGGCTAATCCTCCGCCTTGCAGCACCAGCACACTGGGTTCTAGTCTCAGTAGGGGCGCCGGATTCTGTCCTGGTTGCCTCTCTCCCAGGCCAGCTCTCTGCTGTGGCCAGGGAGTGCAGTGGAGGATGGCCCAAGTGCTTGGGCCCTGCACCCCATGGGAGACCAGGAAAAGCACCTGGCTCCTGCCATCGGATCAGCGTGGTGCGCCAGCCATAGTGCACCGGCCGCAGCGGCCATTAGAGGATGAACCAATGGCAAAGGAAGACCTTTCTCTTTGTCTCTCTCTCTCACTGTCCACTCTGCCTGTCAAAAAAATATATTTATTTATTTATTTATTTATTTATGAGAGAGAGAGAGAGAGAGAGAGAGAGAGAAAGTGAATGAGAACTCCCATCTGCTAGTTCACTCTCCATGTGCTCACAACAGCAGGGGCTGGGCCAAGCCTGGGAGCCAGGAACACTACCCAGTCTCCCATGTGAGTGGCAGGAACCCAACTACTTGAACCATCACTATTGTCTCCCAGGGTCTGCATTAGCAGAAAGCTGTAGTTAGGAACCAAAAGTCAGTCTCGACCCCAGGGAACTTCCACGTGGGAAGCAAACATCTTGTCCACTAGGCTAAATGCTCACCCTCATGTAAAGTTTTCCCCCTTTGTTAGTAAGAGATTAAATAGAAACCTTTACCTCCAAGACATTTGTGTTCCAGAGCTAAAATTTCTTCTTTATTTGTTAAGAACTCAGTTTTATAATCAAATTTGTCTTTCTAATAATAATTATTTCCCTTAAAAACAAGATTTTTTTAGCTACCTCATTAAAAATTTCATTTAAAAATATTTATTTATTTGAAAGGCAGAGTTAGAGAGAGAGAGAGATCTTCCAAGTGCTGGTTCACTCCCTAAATGGCCACAATGGCCGGGGCTGGGCCAGGCAAAAGTAAAAGATGTGAGAGCACAAACACTTGGGCCATCTTTGTCTGCTTTCCCAGACGCATTGGCAGGGAGCTGGATGGGAAGTGGAAGAGCCAGGACTCAAATTGTGCCCATATGGAATGCTGGCATTCCGGGCAATGGCTTAACCCTCTGTTTCCCAATGCCAGTCCCATAAATTTCATTTCAAAACATTGCCATTTCAAAGAAAATCAGTGATTCTAATAGATATGATAGAAAAAGATCTCATCTACTGGTTCACTTCCCATATTCCTACAATAGTGAGGGCTGGGACAAGGCCAAAGCTAGGAGCTGGAAATGCAATCCAGGTCTCCCACATGGGTGGCAGCAATGCAGTTACTTGAGCCATCACTCCTGCCAGGGTCTGTGTAAGCAGGAAGCTGGAAAAGGAGCCAGAGCTGCGTATGAAACCTAGGTACTCTAATGTGGAATACAGTTGCCTTAACTGCTAGTTTAAGCACCTACTCTCCCTGATAGCTTTTAAAAGATTATTAGTCTTCTTTGAAAAACTAGCTAGAAAGTAAGATACTATTCTTAAACTGTAAAGCATGTAGGAAAGAAACTAACAAATAATTTTCTAAGGAAAATCTAAAACTGTTATATGTTTGAAAATTTTGAATAAAAGTTGTATCACGTGTTTGACATGTAAATATGTTAACTTCTTTCAAATCTAACCTATACATTCAATGAAATTTCAGACAAAATTATGACTTTATTTTTTTTTATTTTGAACACTACAACATACTTACTCTAAAATTTATGTGAATGAGTAAAATTTTGTGATGCCTAGACTTGTTTTGAAAATAAATAGAAAAGAGGACAGACTCCCCTCCCAGATAAAACCATGGACCTGGGGCACAAATGCACCCATGGAAAAGAACAGGGAGTCAGAAACAGATCTCCACAGGGTCTCTCATGGGTTAAACATGAACGACACAGTAAGTAATGGGAAAAGGTTTTAGGATTTTCTAAAACCCACAAATTGGTAGTGGGGAAACAGCTCATTATACAAGGGTGTTTCAAAATGTGGAAAGTAGAATTAAAAGATAAGTTTATTTTGTTGCCAAAAAGTTTTGAAATCCATGATTCTGAGGGCCTTCAAAAAGTTCAAGGGAACTATATATTATTAAAAAAAAAACCTTGCATGGATTTTCATTTTTTATACCAAAATAACCTTATCTTTTAATTTTTCTGCAAACTTTATGAAGTATGCTTGTGTGAAGCAAAGTAGATTGATTCCCCACTCTCAGCATATACTAAAGAGAAATCCAGTGTGAAGGTGAAATTAGAAAGCTAGTAGAGTAAACCACTGGTATAAAGCTTCTCAACACATAATGACTTAGAACTTTAATACATTTAATGATAGCTTAAAAATTAAGAGTTTATGAGCATCAGTTCAAGTTCTGGCTGCTCTGCTCCCTGCTGATGTGCCTGGGAAGGCAGCAGAACACGGCCCAAGAACATGGGTCTCTGCCATGCATGTGTGAGACCTGTACAGAGTTCCAGGCTCCTGGCTTCCTCCTGGCACAGCCCCAGCCATTGTAGCCATTTGGGGAGTGAACCAACAGATGGAAGATCTCTCCTTCTGTCTCTGTAACTCTGCCTTTCAAAAAATAAATAAGTGAATCTTTTAAAAAACCAGGAATTTTTGTTAAAGCTCAGATATCCTAAGCAAATTTCTCCTCCTGAAAAAGAGACAGAATGAAGAAAACATATGAAAAAGCCTCATTTTTTTTTTTTTTTAGTAAAATGAGGGCCATAATGGTAGAAGTGAGGAGTCCACCATACAGTTAGTGTGTACTGTGTGCTGCTACTAGTTTGTTCTTTATGACAAAATGCATTTGTGTTGAGCTATGTTATGTGGGCCCTGAATTGCTAATGCTTACATGTTTTTATGTTACTAGTTAATACAGTTGCAGAGAAATAAATGTATATACCAATAACCAGCAAGTCTCAATATCCACAAACTGTGTTTGGTAGATGTCTCCAGATATGCCAAGGGTGAAAAGTAAAGTAGAGCCAATAATGGAGGCAGTTCCTGTAACACAGAGGTGAGGGATACGCAGCATGAGCCACTGTAGCTCTGGAACCAACTGTCAAGGACACCTGCCAGGTGATGTAGCAAGAAGATCATGTTTCATGGCTTGAGGTGTGAATCTTGTGACTGTTATATTTCATCCTGTCTGGGGCTGGGGCACAAGGGTGCTATATCCAGACAGCAGAGAGCCTGAGTAGGGCACCTCCTACTTCTTAGCTCTTTGTCTAGGTGTAACCTCTGACAGTTGGGGTCAGCCCTTTCTTTCCTGCTGGGTTTCCTGGTGATTCCCACACCCCAGGCAGTGTGGCTACAGAAAGATGACTTTGCTCACAGTCGACCAAATGTGCTTTCTAGAAGCAGAGCTGTGTCTTTTTCTGCTTTATGACCTCAACTTTGGGGAAGGCTTTGCCTCCCCAAATATGATCTGAAAATTTAGATGGTGACACACAAGGAAGAAGACAGCAAGTTGTACCTGGTGGCAGTGACCCAAGCTGGGTCTACTCCCTGAACCTGAAACATGATAACACAAGCCAGCCAGGTATGACCTGCTGATAGAGAAGGAAGGGAGACTAATGATAACTCCATGCAGGATGCTATCACACGCATGATCTCCCTGGAAAGTTTGGGAATTGAACATGCCTGTCTCCATGTAACAGATGTAAAAACTAACTCAGAGGGAAAATGATCTGCCCAAATTTACCCAGATTATAAATGACCTTCTGAGATTTGAATCCTAGACCAGTTTGACTTGAAACCTATAAGTATTTATTTATTTCTTCACTGCTCCACTTTTTTTTTAATTTATTTTTTTACTTATTTGAAAGGCAAAGTTACAGAGAGAAGAGGAGAGACAGACAGACAGCTTCCATCCACTAGTCCACTCCTTACATGGCTGCAATGGCCAGGGCTGGGCAGGGCTGAAGCCAAAGGAGTGGTGCTTTTTTTGGGGTCTCCCATGCAGGAGCAGAGGCCTAAGCACCTGGGCGATCTTCTGCTTTCCCAGGCACATTAGCAGGGAGCTGGATCTAAAGTTGAGCATTGGATTTCGAACCCATGCCCGTATCGGATACTAGTGTTGCACGCAGAGGCTTAACCTGCTATGCCACAGTGCTGGCCCTCACTGCACCACTTTCTATATCTGCAAAGTTGGATTGCCAGTGGGTGAATGTGATGATGGATCCCTGTGATCCTGCCTCTGCAACTTGATGGACTCCAGGGAAGAATGTATGGCCCATCTCATCCTTGTTTGATCTTGGCCACTGGCTCAGTCAGACTTTAGATAGCAAATTCCCTTCCCGGTGCCATGTTTGAACAGGTACTCCTGTGGTCAACTGGCATTAGGTGTAGCTTCGATTTCTCAGTAGATTTTGTTCCTATGAAATAATGATGTCCTGAAAGTGTTGAGCTTTGCTTGTTATCCAGAGGACGGCACCTCCAGGAGACACTGTATGACATGGATGGATTCTCTGCCTGGGAAGGAGCCAGGCAGGGCTTAATGGCAGGCAAATGCTTGCTCTCTGACCTGCTAGCCAGGTGGGATTTCATTTCTCTGTGCTTCTGGGATCTGGGACTTTGAAGAACTAGCTTTATTAACCATCAACAGAGACGCTCTTGTCCAGATACCTGCCAGTGGCTTTTTTTGTGTGTACTTGAGAGATCACAGGTATTTTTGAACTACTGCTATTTGGAAGTAAGAATTTCTGTACGCATGTGTTCTTGCCCATGTCTAATGTTCATGGCAATGACTCATAATAGCAATCATGATAGTTATAATAGCTACCCATCCACTCTGTATTTGCACTGTGATAAGCACTGTAGGAATCTCACTTAATGTTCACAAGAACCCTCTAACTGTGTGTTATTTCAGATTGGTTTGGCTGCAAGTTGTAGAAATTCAGCATCAATGGTATAATCAAATGAGAAATTAAATTTTTTTTCATGTGATAAAAGGTCCAGCATTTCCGGGCAAGTATGGGTACCCTACATGACATCAGAAATCTAGGCCCCTTCACTTTGGGCTTTCCTATTCATGTTTATTGTGTGACTGTTCTATTTTGTTAATTTCAACTGATTTGGGGACAGAAAGAAGGAAGAAGGGCAAGACTAAGTGGCAAAAACTAAAAAGCCTGGATTTGGGCTGAACATGCACCCTGCAACAGGGTCTCTCACAAACTCCAGCTGGTACCTCACTTGTACTTCCTTGCCCAGAACTGTGTTGTATGACTACATCTAGCAGTGAGGGATTCAGCTTATGCAAGAGTATTGAAGTGAGCCCCTTGACTAGTGAAAAAGGAAAGGCGGACTGGCTATTGGCTATGCAACTACCAGTGCCTAGCTCAAGTAGTTAATGTTTGTTCAAAGCTACAGACAAGGAAAGTGAAGTTAGAAAAGTTAAGTATTTGTCCAAAGTCACTTAGCCATGGTGTTTAACAGCCCACACCAGAATCTAAGTATGTCTGACATTGAAGCCACCTTTCTAATGCTGTGCTAGAATTTGTTCCTGATGCCTTGTGGTATTGGGGCTGGAGAGCAGAGGACTTCAGGGGATATTCTTATAGTCCAAGAAAGAGGATGGTTTTTCAGCTTTTTGAGAATGGTATCAATGTATGAAAGTTATAAAAGGTTGGCCGGCGCCGTGGCTAACTTGGCTAATCCTCTGCCTGTGGTGCCGGCACCTGGGTTCCAGTCCTGGATAGGGCGCCAGATTCTGTCCTGGCTGCTCCTCTTCCAGTCCAGCCCTCTGCTTTGGCCCGGGAGGGCAGTGGAGGATGGCCCAGGTGCTTGGGCTCTGCACCCTCATGGGAGACCAGGAGGAAGCACCTGGCTCCTGGCTCCAGATCGGCGCAGCGCGCCGACCACACCAACCATGGCGTCCATTTTGGCGTTGAACCAGTGGAAGGAAGACCTTTCTCTGTCTCTCGCCGTCTTAAATAATAAAAAAGTTATAAAAGGCAGATTTTTGGTACAAGGAAAGAAAGTCTTTTAAATAGTAATGAACTGTTAAATGGGCTGTGTAGCAAACTCTTTCCAGGAGAGTTTGTATAGAGGCTAAATTACCTCTCAAAGGAGATCCTTGAACTGACTTGGGTTGGGGTCCACCGTGAGTTCACGGATCTAGTTGTAAGAAACAAAAGAGACTGAGATTGAACAATCATGATGAAAAGAGGGCTTTGGGGGGTTGGCATTGTGGTACAGTGGGTTAAGCCACCTGCATTGCTGGTATCCTATATTGGAGCACCAGTTCAAGTCCAGGCTGCTATGCTTCCAATCAGCTCCATGCTAATATGCCTGGGAAAACAGCAAACGGCCCAAGTGCTTGGGCCCCTGCACCCACAAGGGAGATCTAGATGGAGCTTTGGGCTCCTGGCCTTGGCTTGGCCCAGACCTGGCCATTGTAGCCATTTGGGGGAGTTAACTAGCAGATAAAAGATCTCTCTGTCTCTCTAACTGCCAAAAAAATACATACATTTTTTTAAAAGAGGACTTTTGGATTCACTGTGGTTGCTTTCTGATTTTTTAGAGCTAAGGTGACTGTATAATTTGTGGCCCAAACTGGGGTATCTTTTTATGCATAAAAGGGGGATTGATTAATAACTATGCTGGGATAAAAGGGCCATGCCATGGTCATCACAGACCAACTGGAAGCTCTGGCTGTCTTAGACACAGGCTCCTGATGAAGAAAGGGGTGGGGAGGCTTGAGCTCCCTAGGTACTGACAGCTGGGTAAATGTTTAGAAAGGAAAGAGAGGACACTCGAGCCAGGCGCCCTCTACTTCAGTGGGCTGGACCTTGACGAGCCTAGTCTGTGATGGATTTAGATGACAGATGTTGAAATCTGCTGGGCAGGGACAATGTGTGACAATGTGAGAACATGTACCTGACATAGATCCTTATGTCCTGAGTCTCCTCTAGCATGATTCTTTTTTTTTTTTTTTGCCTTTGACAGGTAGAGTTTTAGACAGAGAGAGAGAGACAGAGACAGTGAAAGAGAGAGAGCTGATCCGAAGCCAGGAGCCAGGTGCTTCTCCTGGTCTCCCGTGCGGGTGCAGGGCCCAAGCACTTGGGCCATCCTCCACTGCTATCCCAAGCCATAGCAGAGGGCTGGACTGGAAGAGGAGCAACCGGGACTAGAACCTGGTGCCCATATGGGATGTTGGCGCCACAGGTGGAGGATTAACCAAGTGAGCCAGGGCACTGGCCCCTAGCATGATTCATTTTTAAGAAACATTAGGCTCAGATCATGCTGGGTTGCTTACTGAGTCATGAACCCTGCCCATTCTAGGCTTGGAAAAAAAAACTGGATTTCACACATCCTTCTCTACTTTTGAAAACCGCTTTTCTGGTTTTCTCAGTGGCCTTAGGCAAGTCACAACCTTTCTCTAGTGGAAATAAAATGGAAATGATAGTTATGCAAGAGAAAAAAATGATTCATGATCTTCCAATGAAGGATGCCACATGGAGCCAAGTGATATTATTATTTTTATGACAGTTATTAGCAAAGCTGCTTCTGGTTCCATCCCCTCTCATTAGGCCACAGGGCATGGAATAAACATAGGTTTGGCCAGTGACTGGTATTTGATGGTCTTGGCACTGGAGATGAAGGGAAGGCATTTCTGTCTGGCTTGCATTTACTGTTAACCTGCTCATGCCTGGATTTCAACGCCTACAATCGGGGAAACTGGAAGCCACTAGGAATCTTAGCTTCATTTCATGCCACGGGCAACCTGTTCAGGAAACCTTTAAATAATGATACAAAAAATATTTTCTTTATTCCTCCCTTTATTTGATAAATATTGATTATCTCTTTATGCCACACTCTGTTTCCCATATGCAGAGCAAGATGCACAATGACAGCACTAAGTCCTTCCGCAGTTGTTGAATCAAGGAGTTTGTGAGATCTGAGGTTTGGAGAGGTGGTCTGCTATGATTGTGTGCCTCTGCTATCCATACTGAGAGGCATTTCTAACTGTAAAACCAATTGTTATGTATTTCCTAAGGAAACAAGATCAGATTCTGATTTATTTATTCTTTAATGATTTATTTTATTTATTTGAAAGGTGGAATGACACACAGAGAGGAAGAGACAGAAAAAGAGATTGTCCATCCTGGCTCACTCCCCAAATGGCCACAATAGCTAGGGCTGAGTAAGCCTGAAGCCAGGAGCACAGAACTCCATCTGGATTTCCCACATGGGTTGTAGTGACCCAAGTATGTCAGTCACCTTCTACTGTTTCCCAGGTGCATTAGCACAGAGCAGGATTGGGACTCATGATGGTGGTATCAAAAGGGGTAACTTAACCCAGTGCACCACAACACTGGCTTGGTGACCAGCTTCTTTAATATGGCATAGAAGAATCTTTGTAGGTTGGATCCTGTTCACCTTCCTGTCTCATCTATCATGGAGCCCCCTTTGACCCCAAGTTCCTGCTGTTGGGATTCTCCTACAAGCCCCTGAATAGTCAGTTCTTTTGTCCCTCTTGGCTAAGAGTGGCAGATACTTTTTGTCAAGGGCCAGATAACAAATATTTCTGGTTTTCAGGGTCACAGGGTCTCTGTGGTAACTACTCAGTAGTGCTGCTATAGTACAAAACAGTCATAGACAAAATGTAAATGAATGAGCGTAGTTATGTTTAAATAAAAAGATGATTTAAAAAGATGATTTGAGAGTCAAAGTTAATCGAGAGGGAGAGAGATCTATCTATCTATCTATCTGCTGGTTCACTTACCAAATAGTAGCAACTGCTGGGACTGGCCAGGCCAAAACCAGGAGCCTGGAAGTCACTTTGGGTCTCCTATATAGGTGTCAGGGGCCCAAGGATTTGGGCCATCTTCTGCTGCTTTTCCAGGCACATTACCAGGGAACTGGATTGGAAGTGGAGCAGCCAGGACACAAACTGGTGACCCATTATGGGATGCCAGTGTCCCAGGTAGTGGCTTAACCCGCTATACCACAACTCTGGCCCTAGGACTGTATTTATAACAACAGGGTGTGGACTGGATTTAGTCCATGGCCTGCAGTTTGCTGATCTGTTTCAGACTTTTGCTCATGCTATGGTCTTTCCCTTATCTATGTTAAACACTTTTTCCTCTCCATTCATCTGAACATTACCCATTCAATTATCACCTACAGTCTGAGTCCTCTCCCTACTCCCCTGGGTAGAACTGGTCACCACACCATTGTATTCTGTGCATACCACCCCCACAGGAAATAGAAAATTAAGTCTGTGTTTTCTTTCCTAACCTGACTGCAACCTTTGTTCATTCATTCGTGGGTGCACTGATTTATTCAGTTAACAATAATTAATGAGTGCCCACTACAGGGCAGAATTACTGACTTTTTAGTCTGTGAAATACCTGGCTCAAAGTCTGGTACAGGAAAAATCCCCAATATAAGTCCTCCGCTAGGCTTGGCAGACACCACTGGGACTTTGTAGGGAGCTGTGACTGTAGGAACCACATGTGACCACCCTGAGATCGGGGTGCCTTTATTGCTCTCTTGCAACCTTGGCCAGATAGCAAAGGGTCACAGGGCTGTGTCTTGGGACTGAGAGCTGGGTTGGTAAAACCTAATGCTGGGCAGGTCCCAATGGTTTCTGTCCTGAGCTAAATATCTGTGCTTGGAGTCTCTGGAATTGCCCCAGTGTCAGTTGGAGACCTGTGCCCTGGAGAGGCAGACTCACTTTGGTTTATATCACCACTAGTACCTGGCAGGCCTGGTTTGCTTTTCCAAGATTGCATAAGGCCTGGGGACTGTGAGCCCCAGGTGTGACCTGCTAAAACCTGCTCTAGTAGCTGAGGGGCTGCCTCTGTCACCTCTTCTTCAACTGTGGGTAGACAGCAGGGAATCACAGGACTGGTTTTGGGACTCAGTGCCAGATTGAAAACCCAGCACAGAGCAGATCCTAATGGTCTCTGTCCCCAGACCAGGGCTGCACTACCGGCAGAGTTCCATGGTTCCAGTTGAGCAGTTTTGTATCTTAACCAGCATCAGTAGTAACTCAAAGGTGCAGCACTGGGCAGTGAGACCACCTTATTGGCAGACAGACTGTAGCAGGCTTAGCTTTGGTCCAATCTGAGTTGCACTAGTCTTGCTGGGATGAGGGCTCTGGATGTGATCTAGCAGATGGCATTCATGGACACAGGACAAGGAGTTGGAGCCTACCACAGGGACAGGATTGTAAAGTCAGACTACCCCTTTTTAGTGCTTCCCCAGTTCATATAGAGCAACACATATGCTGCAGATTTGAGACAAAGTTGAGTTTGGGGAGTCTTCTAAGACTGAGTCAGTAAGAACTTATAAGCAATGGATCTGGGACAAACCATTACTTAGGGTGATGTCTAGTGCAAAAGTATCCATAGACTAAGAGAAAACAGACTGCTTAGCCACAGATAAAGCCAGATTACTATAGCTAATCCTTTTAGTGCACAGAGAATGTTGTTCTCCAACAAGCTTCAAGAATTTCCTGGGAACTATGACCTCACCTAAAGAGAAAAATAAGGTGCCAGAAACCAACCATCAAGGAACTGAAATTCACAAATGCTCAGGTAAAGATTTCTTAAAAAAAAAAAGATTTTATTTATTTATTTGAGAGGTACAGTTACAGACAGAGAACCATCTGCTGGTTCATTCCCTAAATGGCTGCAATAACAGGTGCTGGGCCAATCCAAAGCCTGGAGCCAGGAATCCCTTCTGGGTCTCCCATGTGGGTGCAGGAGCCCAAGTACTTGGGCCATCTTCCACTGTTTTCCCAGGCCACAGGTGGAGAGCTGGATCAGAATAGCAGGCAGGACATGAACTTGCACCCCATATTGGATGCAGGTGGAGGCTCAGCCTACTATGCCACAGTGATGGCCACAAGATGATTTTGAAGTAGCTGTTTTTATTTTATTTTATTTGACAGGTAGAGTTATAGACAGTGAGAGAGAGAGAGACAGAGGGAAAGATCTTCTCTCTGTTGGTTCACTCCCCAAATGGCCACTCTGGCCGGCATGCTGTGCTGATCCGAAGCCAGGAGCCAGGTGCCTCTTCCTGGTCTCCCATGCGGGTGCAGGAACCCAAACACTTGGGCCATCCTCCACTGCCCTCTTGGGCCACAGCAGAGAGCTGGACTGGAAGAGGAGCAGCCGGGACTAGAACCCGGTGCCCATATGGGATGCCGGTGCTGCAGGTGGAGGATTAACCAAGTGAGCCACGGTGCTGGCCCCAAAGTAGCTGTTTTAAAGAGACAACAAAATCTAAGAGAACACAGAGAAATTATTAAATAATCTAACACAGATGTTTTTTGAAGAGGTGAAATAAATTTGGCAAAATCAAGCAGAAATATTTCAACTAAGTAGTTCACAAAATGAAATTAAAATGTGATGGAACCTCTGGCGCTGTGATGCAGTAGGTTAATCCTCCTCCTGCAGAGCCGGCATCCAGTATGGGCATCAGTTCAAGACCTGGCTGTTCCTCTTCCAATCCAGCTCTCAGCTATGGCCTGGGGAAGCAGTAGAAGATGGTCCAAGTCCTTGGGCCCCTCCACCTACGTGGGAGACCAGGAAGAAGCACCTAGATCCTGGCTTCGGATCAGCTTGTCTCCGGCTGTTGCAGCCATCTGGGGAGTGAACCAGTCTCTCTCTCTCACTGTCTAACTCTATCTGTCAAATAAAAAATAAATAAATAAATAAATAAATCTTAAAAGAATATGTTGTACATATACACACTGGAATACTACTTTGTCATAAAAAGGTTGGAACTGGCAGTCATTATGTAAGTGAAATAAGCCAAGCACAGAAATACAGATATCACTTAATCTTACTCATTTGTGGAGTCTAAAAATAGGTGATCTCATACAAGTTAAAAATATATTGGTGGTTCCCAGAGGCTGGGAAAGGAAGTGGGAGGCAGGAATGAGGAAATATTGATTGACAGGTACTAAGTTATAGTTAGATAGAAATAAGAACTTCTAGAGTTCTATGACACAGTAGATTGATTATAGATAATGATAATATACTGTATATTTTCTACTTAAAAGCCTAGAAGATAGAATTTTGGGTGCTTTCACTATAAATAAATGCTTGAAAGGATAAATATATTTACCCTGACTGTTTATTACACAATGTATACATGTTTCACGGCATCATATAATACCCCATAAATGTGCACAAGTTCTATATGTCTGTTAAAGTTATTTAAAAAAAAAAAACACCAGGGGCCAGTGCTGTGGCTCATTTGGTTAATCCTCCACCTGCAGCACCGGCATCCCATATGGGCGCCGGGTTCTAGTCCCGGTTGCTCCTCTTCCAGTCCAGCTCTCTGCTGTGGCCTGGGAGGGCAGTGGAGGATGGCCCAAGTGTTTGGGTCCCTGCACCCGCATGGGAGACCAGGAAGAAGCACCTGGCTCCTGGCTTCGGATCAGCGCAGCATGCCGGCCAGAGTGGCCATTTGGGGAGTGAACCAACGGAAGGAAGATCTTTCTCTCTGTCTCTCTCTCTCACTGTCTAAAACTCTACCTGTCAAATAAAACAACAAACAAAAAACACCAACATCTGTTGCTAAAAATCTGTTTGCATCTTTGTTGTATGTGCCCTAAATGAGGAGTTTTCTTTTCTTTCTTTCTTTCTTTTTTTTTTTTTTCTTTAAGGACTTGTCAAAGCTGGGTTCTGGAACTGAATCCAGGCCTCCCAGGTGGTGGCAGGAAGCCAACTGGTTACACCAACACCACTGCCTCTCAGAGTCTGCATTAGTAGGGAGCTGGAATCAGGTGCAAAGCTGGGACTCTGAGATACTCTGACACGGGACGCGGGCATCTTAAGTGCCAGGCTAAATGCATGCTCCTATCTTTACTGATTTTGAACTCTGCTATTGAGTGGAGATTTAGTCAGTGGCTTGTGTTTACAGCTTTTTTTCAAGGTGTCGGTAGCTGATCTGGAATGACTTTGTGACTCTACCTATCATCCATTCTTTATCCCTGTTGCTAGGCCTTGGGGTCCTGTTGCTTCCTGGTAACTGCTTATGACAGAGTCAAGAGTTGCAGTGACAATTTCTAAGCTCTCACCTGGGCAAACGACTGACTCTGGTGAGCCTGAGGTATACCAACAAACTATCTACATAGTGCTTTGCGTTTCTCATTTTTACTTTAATTCTTAAGCACAAGATCTGTTTTCCCCCTTGATCACTAACGGAAAAGGCCGTCTGGGTTAAGGAGCCTTAAAAGCTCACAGCATGTGAATATTGAACTAACTCCTTTGCATAGTCTAAATCTAACTTTTCTTTCATCCGGTCTCAGCTTCCTTGAGGTAAATGTAAAAATGAAGCTTCTTGATTGCTCATATGACAGAAGTTATTTCATGGATCATGGGGCCAAAAAATATTTTAAGTAGAGAGCTGACACTGTGGTGCAACAGGTAAAGCTGCCACTTGCAATCCTTGCATCCCATATCACATAGTGTTAGTTTGAATCCTGGCTGCTCTGCTTCCAATCCAGCTTCCTGCCAATGCAGCCAGGAAGGCAGTGGAAGGTGGCTGAGTACTTGCACCCCTGCCACCCATATGGGAGACCAGAATGGAGGTTCTGGTTCCTGACTTCAGCCTGGTGGAGACCTAGCTGTTAGACATATTTGGTGAGTGAACCAGTAGATAAAAGACTTCTTTCTGTCTTTCCCTCTCACTGTCACACTGCCTTTCAAATAAGTAAATAAATAAGTAGCCTTGTGCCATTTTACATGCCCAGCCTCTTCTAATTGTAAGAAGAATATTTCCTTAATTGGTTGTCACCCATTAAATCAAAATGACTTCATTTTGCTTCAGCCTGGCTAGGGTTGGATCTTGAATGGTTACCAGGAAGCTAATGTGTTTGTGGTCAGAGGCGGGGAAGAGAAAATGGTTACAGCTGGTTACAAAACAAACACAAAGCTCCCACACTGCTTCTCACCTTACCAGAGCAAATAGAAAAGAAGTCCCAGCTGGGGATGGAGTGTGTTGGGTAAACACTAGAGAAACTGCAGACTGCTCTGAGGCTCTGTTCTAATTAGAATAAGTTGTTTCGTCATACATAAGAGTGTTAATTGTTAAATTAACAACAGGAGTCACTGTGCACTAACTCCCCATGAAGGACCTCTGTCCTCAATGAGTTGTATTATGAAAGTTAGCTATAAAACTAGTTCTCAAACAGTGTGTGTGTGTGTGTGTGTGTGTGAAAAATGTTGAAATCTTTACTTAGCATAGAGTCGCTCTTCTGTGTACAAAGTTAATTGAAAATGAATCTTAATCGAGAATGGGACTGGCAAGGGGAGAGGGAAGAGGAGGAGGGGTGGGAGTGCAGGTGGGAGGGCAGGTATGATGGGAAGAATAAATATATTCCTAAAGTTGTACTTATGAAATTTATATTCCTTAAAAATAAATTTAAAAAATAAAAAAGAAGAAGTTGTTGGAGGAAGTAGCGGCTGAACAGATGACCAGGATGTCTAGTTAGTCACTCACCCCCACGGCTAGCAGCTTGATTACTCATGTTACTAAGAGTGCATATTACTCAGATTACTAAATCAAAGTCCCAGTGTACCTGCAGCCTCTTACCAGAGGCATCAATTATCTGCCTGCCCTGACACTTTAAGGTTGGCTGCTTCTGTGGGGGAATCATGGTGAGGAGAAATGATGGCCCTGTTTAAGGAAGGAGGAGCAGACGGGGGCAGCGGCAGGAGCAGACGGGGGCAGGGGCAGAAGCTGACCTTGGCTTGGGTTGCAAAAGCAAAGTAAGGCAGTGTTGCTAACTGACCAGGGCCACAAAGGGTGGTAAACACACTGAGGATGAGGCCGTAGAGTGTGTAGCACCAGTGAGGTAAGCCCATTGCAACAAGCACTCATGCAATTTGGTGGGAAGGGACTCTGGTGAGTTCCTCATTTGCTAAGTGGTTGCCACAGCATGTATGCATGCACACACACCATATACATTTGATTTAGTTGGTTTCCCACAAAACTAAATTTATCTAATTAGAAAAAAATTTTTATAGATCTAAAAATGTTATGTATTTATGGGATCCTGTGTGATGTTTCAGTACATGTGTGTATTCTGTAATGTCCAATCAGAGTAAATGTACTTACGTATTTATCTCTTTAAACATTTAACATTTCCTTATAGTTAAAACATCTAAAATGTTACTGTCTAGTTTGTTTTATAGAGAAATATACAGTACATTGACATTCTCTATCGTCAATCTACTGTATAATAGAACCCAAGAACTACTTGCTCCTGCCTAGCTCTAATCTAGTACCCATTGATCAGACTTTCCCCATCCTCTCCTCCTCTCTTTCCTCTGCAGGCCCAGGTAACCTCTATTGTACTTTTAACTTCTAAGAGATTACAGGCCATTTCCGTGGCTCACTAGGCTAATCCTCCGCCTGCGGCGCCGGCACCCCAGGTTCTAGTCCTGGATGGGGCGCCGGTTCTGTCCTGGTTGCTCCTCTTCCAGTCCAGCTCTCTGCTGTGGCCTGGGAAGGCAGTGGAGGATGGCCCAAGTGCTTGGGCCCTGCGGCCCTGCACCCCCATGGGAGACCAGGAGGAAGCACCTGGCTCCTGGCTTCAGATTGGCGCAACGCGCCAGCTGTAGCTGCCATTTGGGGGGTGAACCAACGGAAGGAAGACCTTTCCCTCTCTCTCTCTCTCTCACTGTCTAACTCCACCTGTTAAAGACAAAAAAAAAGAGATTACATATTTTCTTTTTTGACTTCACGTGTTAGTGAGATCATGTGATACTTGTCTTTCTGTGTGTGGCTTATTTCACTTAGCATAATGACCTCTAGTTCCACCCATGTTGTTGTGAAAGACAAAATTTTGTTCATTTTTATGACTGATTAATATTCTATTGTATGTATATATGTACCACATTTTCTTTATCCATTCATCAGTAGAAAGATACTTAGGTTATTTCCATTTCTTGGCTATTGTAGATAGTGCTGCAATAAACATGGGATTGCAGATATCTCTTTGACATATGGATATCATTTCCCTTGGATATATACTCAATAGTGGTTTGCTGGTTTTTTTTGTATATATAAATAAATATATATTATATACACATATATATGTTCTATATACAGTAGTTATATTTTTAGTTTTTTGAGGGGCCTCTGTACTGTTTTCTGCGATATGTACATTACTTTATATGCTAGTTACCTTTTTTTCCACATCCTTACTCATACTTGTTTTTTTTTTGTCTTTTTGATAATAGCCAATCTAACTGGCGGGAGGTGGTATCTCATTGTAGTTTTTATCTGCATTTCCCTGATAGTGATTTTGGGCATTTTTTTGTGTACCTGTTGGTTCATAGTATGTCTTTAATGATTTATAACAGTGTGTGTGTGTGTGTGTGTGTGTGTGTTTAGTTGGGAAAGACATTGGCAAATGAGTTTCTTAAAACAAGTGTGCTGCCTGTTTACCTGATGTATTAAAGTTTAAAGTGAAATACTGTCTTTACTCCTTGTTTCTGGCATGAATAAATACTTCACTTTTGGCAATTCTCATTATAAGTTAAGCATGCCCTGTTGATAGTGTCTATCAGAATTAAAATTCACATATCCTTTGACTCTGCAATTCCACATTATGAGATTAATTCCATAGTCTTGTTTATACCTATGTGCAAAAATATGTTTGTGGGGGTAAAAGTTGGAAACCATCATATGTCTGTCGGAAGAGACTGAGTACATTATGGCAAGAGTACATTATGGAACATTCATATTTTGGGTTACAGTGTATCTGCATATAGATTTCCAACAAACCCTCCAATGTGTTAAGTTTCATTGAGGAATATGAGTTGGTAAATGAAAGAGAAGGGGCTTAGGTCAGCATATCTGCCTGTATATACACAGGGTATTTTTAAACAAATACTCGGGAAATTTAAGGATTTGTCTATTACAGAAGGGATTGGAAGCCTGGGTCCTCAGGTCAGTAGAAATTTGCTTTCTATTATGTTCTGTTCTGTCCTGTTTTTCACACTGGAATTTGTATTGCTCAGGTGAATAAGTCAGCTTTTTTTTTTTTTAAAATTTGTTTATTTATTTGAAAGGCAGAGGCAGAAAGAGAGAGAGGTCTTCCATCTTCTGGTTTATTCCTCAAATGGCCGCAGTGACCGGAGCTGGACCAATCTGAAGCCAGGAGCCTGGCGCTTCCTCCAGGTCTCCCATGCAGGTGCAGGGCCCAAGGACTTGGGTCATCTTCTACTGCTTTCCCAGGCCATAGCAGAGAGCTGGATCAGACGTGGTGCAGCTGGGACCTGAACTGGTGCCCATATGGGATGCTGGCACTGCAGGTGGTGGTTTTACCAGCTACGCAACAGCGTTGGTCCCAAGTCAACTTCTTTGAAAAATAATTTTAATGGAAATATAGTTCTTCCTACTTCATTAGGATTTTTCTGATGGTGGTTTCAGTGCCAATAAAATAGACTGGAAAATATGGTCTGATGCATGGCTAAGAATGGTTCAAAACCCTATGGAAGAAGGTGTCTTTCAGCTAAATGTTGATTTGGGAAGGGTATTTTGGTAACTAATGAATAATGGACAACATTGATTTGAGCTGCTATTTTTATGCTGATGGTTTGGAATCCTAGAGAGCTGTAAAGAAAAGTCCAGTGCCTCCCCCCAGGAAGTCAAGGCAAAGGCCTTTTTGTGTTGGAGAGTTACCTTGAAGAAAGTCTACAAAAATCATTAATTAAAGCCTTCTAGTTTCTGTCTTTTATTCCAATTCCATAGCTCTGAAGGTGATGCCGTTGCCATTTCTCTCTTTGCCTTTTGATGACTGGAGAATGCTCAGAAGGTTAAACACACACTGACTTATTTACTTTAAATAATACGCTGCTCACTGTCAGGAGCCAACACGTCAGTGGCCTTTATAAACCAGTCACATGACAACAACCTAGCCTCTTCTCTCTGAAGTTGCGCTCATGGGTGGAAAAATGAATACAGATGTGTGGCCAACACACATTCTTTAGTGAGAGCTGGTGCTGAACCAATACTTTGGGGGAGGGTGTATTACAGTATGCCCTTCATTCAACCTTATATTAGCCTGTGTTATCTCTTGTAATGTTAGATGTATTGTTAATTAATCCTTCATTTGTCTATGCTTTGAATCTTTTCCTCCTGTAAGATTCTTAAGTATTAGAATGAGGTTATTTATTCATTTATGGACCAAATATTAAATACATAACTGCTACATATATGACATTTCACTCAAGTAACAAGGGTACTTCAGAATTTCATGGAAAAAGGTATGAAAGTATGAATTGAGGGACCAGCAGTAGGCCTGTGGTTAAGATACATTTGTTATGGGGATCCTAAGCCAAAATTAATATTTTGGGGTTCCTGCCATTTATTTAGATAAGAATTCTAAATACTGGCTCAAATGAAGTAGACAATATGGTAAGGTTTGAGGTTCATTTAGTGCAAGAAATACACAGGAATGTGAAAGCTTTATTAAGGGAGAATGGGTCAGAAAGATTAAACAGGAAGCTCCATACCAAAATCTCAGGGGGTAGCCCAGGGACCCTATGTGGGAGTCTGCAGGCCAGAGACGTGTGGGAACTGCATGAGCAGAAGTGCCAGGAGTGGCGGTTGAAATGGGCTGGCTCATCATGCTCCAGACCTCTTATTCACTTCCAAAAGAGGAGTGGTTACGTAGTCTGATTGGCAGGTGGGTGGATACAGCTGAGACAAAGGGGATCATGGTCTGCAGCTCATGAGCCTAATCTTATCTCCCTGATTGGGTCCCATAGCACCCTCATCCCACATCAGAGTACCTGTGTTTGATTCCCTGCTCTGTGACTGTGTTCCTGCTACCCACGTGGAGACCTGGATTGTTGTGTCAGCTTTTTTTTTTTTTTTTTTTTTTGACAGGCAGAGTTAGACAGTGAGAGAGAGAGACAGAGAGAAAGGTCTTCCTTCCATTGGTTCACCCACCAAATGGCAGCTACAGCCAGTGCGCTGTGCTGATCCGAAGCCAGGAGCCAGGTGCTTCCTCCTGGTCTCCCATGGGGGTGCAGGGCCCAAGCACCTGGGCCATCCTCCACTGCCCTCCCGGGCCACAGCAGAGAGCTGGACTGGTCAAGAGGGGCAACCAGGACAGAATCCGGTGGCCCAACCAGGACTAGAACCTGGGGTGCCGGCGCCGCAGGCGGAGGATTAGCCTAGTGAGCCGTGGCGCCGGCCAGCTCTTGCTTTTGACCTCTGTCCAGCCCTGAACTTTACTGGCATTTGAGGATGGGAGCACTTGCACTTTATGAGTTTATTTGTTACAAAAACAGTTTTTAAATCT